TGGGTTCTAGAGATGGCACGGTGTGGATGGGTGTGTCCCGGTAAAAGAACACGGAGAACAGACTTTCACAGTTCAGATCTTTAATTAGTGTGTGTGTGAGGAAAAAGCACCGTCGTCTCATTATCTCACCGTCATTAACGGAACTGGAAGTAAACATACCACCGGCACACAGGCACGGCAGCACTGATGACGTCATGCGCACGTAACGGCTCAATTCACCGCGAGCATTAAGGAAAGACACCTATAACATCAACAAACAAACGTATAAACTTTAATGTAAACTTGTGGACTTTCTAATGTGAATATCTGTACGGGTAATGTGAAAGGGGGGGTAGGTAATTCACTTCAGAAACACTTGTTGTTATATTCCATGGAATGCTCTTAACATCCCGATAGCAATGAATATATTAAATGCTTTGACAATAAATACATTAAAATATATCATCTGTGGAAGCCGTGGTACTGTAAAAAGCACGACCAATCATTTGAGCCGGCCCGACTAAAATAACTGGATGGCCTACCTGCCTGTCAGCCTTCCATCTGTGCACAAACTTATCTCGTGCCCTCATTGGTCATGTGCGCGTTCGTGTGTGTTGGAGGAGGGGCTCTGTAAGGAAGTCTGAAGGAAGGGGCAGATTTTTTTCCGGTTGTGTATTTCAAATTCTAGCGCACTCGAGCTGGTTTCTCCATTCTTACCTACCCTACCTTTTAAGAGCATATTTAATTTGATATCCCGTTAAGCTCTTTTCCCCGAATGTAGCATATTACATTAATACATCTGGGAAATGCAGGTGTTATTCAGGTTTTAGGATCAGTCGTTCGACTCAATTGTTTGTTTCCTACCGCAATTTGCAACACACAGCCTCTGTCTGTTTACGGCCAGCACGTAATATGCAAACCCACTATCCAACTGTTTGCATAGCTGGGATAGAGATGCATGTTAAAAAGAGAACCCAAATACTGATAGAATAGAAAATAAAAAATTATGAAAAACACAGCTATAGGTAAAAAACAGGCTAAGTAAAATTATTTAAACAGTGTTTCCATAGAAGGTACTTCATTTGAGTGTATTACTTTAATCAGAGTATGCACTGCTGGCCATGTACACAGCCTAGAAAAAATACTGTCTTTAAGTTAAAAAACGAAAATGTTGTGCAGGTAAACCTAGTCACTGATAAATGTAACTATAGTTTCACCCCTTACAAAGGTCAAATTAGGTCACTGAGTTTCCCTTTTATCATGTTTCCTTTTCTCTTTTCCGCAGTACTGAAACAACTCTGAAGAATCAAGAGATGGAGCTGATCAGAAACAAGGAGAGGCTTCAGTTCTTCAAGGTAGAAGCAAATACCTATATATGTGTTATTTAACAGACTCAAGAGTGGTTTCAATCTTCTGTTCAAACTATTTGCAAGAAATGTATTTCCTGTTAGGGAATAATTTGCTTAGGTATTCAACCTTCGACACAGTTCATCGTTTTCTCCTCTCACTGTCTCCTTTCCCACGGCATAGTTCTACGGCCTTGGGGTATTGCTGCTATCTCTCTTAAGGAGGGGCAGCTTGGGCGCATTGTTGTTGCCAGTCTATGACAGAGCACAAGCCGCCATGAGGTAGTTTACTGTTCAGGGACGAAGGATCCCTGGCGCACATTCTGTCCTATGGACGACAGCTCTAGTTAGATTCAGGGTCCATAAATGTTTAGTCTCGCTGATAAAGAATGTTGATTATTACACTCCGAACTACACTGAACAAAAATATAAACGCAAGACTTTTGTTTTTGCTCCCATTTTTCATGAGATGAACTCAAAGATCTAAAACATTTTCTATATACACAAAATAACCATTTCTCTCAAATATTGTTCACAAATCTGAAAAAATCTGTGATAGTGAGCACTTCTCCTTTGTCGAGATAATCCATCCCACCTCACAGGTGTGGCATATCAAGATGCTGATTAGACAGCATGATTATTGCACAGGTGTGCCTTAGGCTGGCCACAATAAAAGGCCACTCTGAAACATGCAGTTTTGCTTTATTGGGGGGGTCTGGGGGGGTCCGAAAACCAGTCNTGTCAGTTTTTTCCAATATCGTGCAGCCCTAATTCACACTGAAGAAGTCCAAAAATAGATGCAAACTAAATCCTTTCTGAATACTTTTTATTTTCTTTCTGACTAATTGTGTGCATTTCAAAAGGGATGTTATAAGCTGCCCACTTGGTTAGCTAATTATATGCTGACATTCAA